TCTGAATCTTAACCTGAATGGGGTTCGACGCAAGTCCTGTACGCGACGCGAGAGATGGTGTTCGTCGGCATGAGGACTGCTGCTTTGAAAGACAACAGGCTGTAGACAAACTATAGAGTCCTCGGGTGGTTCCAATCCAGAATGTTTTTGGTAGAAAAGAGTTCTGGAAGATACCTGTCTTGCCTTGAAGGGGATAGAAACATTTGCTGATTTTTTTAACCAGGTTAACTGTGTCATGAGGGGGGAAATCCTTGGCTTTAACAATGCGTTTACTCATGATCAGGTAGTCCTGATGACGAATAGATAGCATGAGATTCTTAAGCTCAAATTATAAAATAAATACACTGTAAGTTTGAGAGCTTTTCCTCTGTTGCAGAATGTAGTTGGGCCTAGGTTTTATAGCATTTCTGAGACACACCTTGGTTTTCAGCCACCACAATTACCTGTAATGATAATACTGCCAGCTTCTGAATTTCCTCATTTTTATTGATATCTTTTTTAATGGGAAGGATCCCAGACTATGAAACTGTATTTCAAAGGTAGAACAGACTAGGGATTGATAGGCTAACTTTCTGGAAGATAAGGGGCAGTGCTTAAGATTCCTTTTAAGGAAACTCAGTGACAGCTAGCTTTTTTGGTTTTATTGCTGATGTGGGGCCCGCCCCATTTCAGATCATCAGAGATGGTACATGTACGTGACTCCAAAGAGGGGATTTTTTTGAAACTTGTCCTAATACATTGTTGTTGTACTGGTAAAACTGGGAGTATTTTTGGTTGACTGAGAGTATGTAGCATTTCTGTGCATTATAGGACAGGTTACATCCCTATGCATCCCTGCACCAATACTCCCCCGCATCTGTACATCCCTACACCATTACTTCCCCACACTGATACTCCCTCGCACCGATACTCCCCCACATCATTGCTTTCCTGCATCGATACTGAGAGGGAGTATCGGTGCGGGGATCTATCGGTGTGGGGACGTATCGATGCGCTTAATACAAAAATTTACTAAGGGAGATTATCAGTGCGGGGGAGTAACGGTGCGGACGAGTATCGACATGACCCCATATGACATATGTTGAAATTAATGATTGGAGACTGGTCCAGTCTTGTTGTTGTTGATGTGGTCAGTGATGCCTCTAAGGGTTCTGGAAGGAAGTTATCATTTTAATGATATTTGGGTTCTTCAGTATATTTTGAGAGATTTTTGATCGCCCTTTTTCCTGCAGGAGATCTGTGCTTTAGGAATTCTCTCTAGTTTTGAATTATTTTGTTTTTCACAAAACTACTTGTTTCTTGCAAACTTATACCAAATTCTGTGCATAATTTCCATGGATAATCACTTACTTCTCAAATATGCATAGCAGAATAACACAATTGATTTAATAATGAAATACTTTTAAAAGGGAACTTGAGACTTATCTATTAAAAAAATTATGAATAAAGTACTGTTTTTATTAATGACTTTTTAAAGTAAGTGATCAAGTAACATTCTAATTTCTACACTATTAATTTTAATCAATTTTTGTTTTAATCAATTTTTCTACTGGCCTTTTTATTATTTTTTTCACATTGTATTGTAAAGTCTGCTGAACAAATTTGGATTTTAGCCTCAAATAAATATTAGTATTATTATTGTTATTAATATTGAAAGTAGGATAATTTAAAAATTTAGAATTGATTTTAATAAATTCATTTATTAATATTTCAGATATGAAGCCAGAAAATGTCCCCAAGTGGTAGTTGCTGATATTGACACAAAGGCATTCTTAAGAAAGCAGACAGTCAAAGTTACCAAAGTACTGTAATAATGGATTTCAAACACCTCAATTCTCTTGATAACATATTTGGTTCAGATTGATTATTTTAACACACTCACTCCTAAAGTGAAGTGAAGTAAACCCATGCTGTTAAGCAATCTTGGAATTTTTCTCCCATACAAGCCCAGGTCATTCAAAACACCAAGACACCAAAAATAGTATTTTTACCTCAAAACTGCCGATTGGACATCATCATCATCAAAATTCCCGTACTTTTCTGATAACAAACAATGCCCATAATATTTATGTGATGATATAATAACAACCGTTTTTATATAGAGTTGTTTTTTTTTAAGCCTGATTTTGGCTTAGAACAGGGTATAAAGCATCATTCAATATTTTGATCTATTTATTATACTCCTGAAACTGGTTAATTTGCATAATAACTTCGTCTTACCCCATTTTCAAACAATGCTTTGATAACTGAGGGGTCCATTTGTGACTTTTCATCCATCTCTCTCACCAAGGGTTCAATCTTGTCTTTTGCCAACTTCGCCACTAGTTCAAATAGAAAATAATGATAACAACAATTGACATTTACCAAAACATTGCTTTTTATAAGAATTTGTACAAATAAATTTTCCAAAGCAAGCACCCAGCATTTTAAGTGATATTTAAATATAAACAAATTTTAAATTGTTTCTGACTTATAACAGAATAATTCACTCTTGACCAGAATATTTCAAGTATCACATTCCAGGTGTCTTGATCCACAACTGAAAAATTAAAATCAACCATCTGACTATGAAAACCATTTGGTTAATAATGAGTGGTGAAAAAACTGAATAATCAATTAAAATAAATTACTCACAATATATTCCAGTAGATGTGTGTGAGAAAGAGAGAGAGAAGAAAGGAGGGAGGGAGAGAGAGAGAGAGGGAGGCATATACCTGTTTCCTTCATCATTGTTTCTTCTTCTGTGAACATGTACAATGGGGCATGGAGTACCTCATCACTGTGCTCTGGCAAGTTGTCAGATTTTGTTGGACTAAACAATTGCTGTGAGGCAAATAAGTTCCTCCTGCTTGTCTGAATTATCTTTTTTGGTTGAAGAACCCTTCTCAGCTGGAAAAAAATAATACCATGATATATCTTTAGTCTTGGGATACTTTCAAATATTTCAAGAGAATAAAACTTTTAAAAAATTCAATTTGAGTCTGAACAATAACTCTAGTGGTTGGGTTTACTTTTCTTTATAAATAATCTCTATTGTGATAGATTGAAACTCAAATTGCCAAAAAAAAAAAACTCTCAATTTTCCCCTTGTCTCTAACCTCCATGGGTTCATACAGCTGAAAATGAGTATTTAGCTGGTGACAGAGATAAATTTTGAGAAAATCTGTTTAAATTCATCATTATGTCAATAATGGATAATCAGCCAAAACCTGGCATTTTAACAATTTCACAAATGAAAATATTTCCATGCCTGCACGGTTTTCACCTAGCATAAATGACAAACCAGAGCAATTACCATGCAATAGTATGCTCTGTAAATCACAGAAAACATGAATACCATTAAGTTTCTTGTTCAAATGAACCTTTACAATGCAACTTTGCTACACAACTGCAATGTGCTTTTGATATAACGCAAGTGGATGTATGCAATTTGAGTAATTAAAATTAGTATGCACCGTGAAATAGTGCAGCATTGAATCCACCTTAGATAAGAGATTTGTATCTGTATCTGTCCATATACTAGTACGTCTAAGAAGACCACTACTGGTATGAGATAGACGGATAGAAAAGAGCGTATGGGAAACTTACACCCCATTTCCATAGATTAGATCGACCTACTTTAGATCGACCTAACTCCTTGGGGGTTCACGCTAAATAGCTAAATAGCTGTCAGCCGGGCGGACACGAAAGATAATTACCCTCTTACCCTCTTACCTCTTACAGCTTGTAGTAGGCGGGACGGACATTTAAGTCGGATTATCTGAAAGTAATGTAGTGAGACTCCCCGCGGGGATAGATCGATCTAAAATCTATGGGAATAGAGCTTTAGTCACAGTGTAGGCCTGATCTAAAGCCTTCCACAGTTTTAGCGTTTACTTGTTGATCACTGAGTTCATTCCAATCGGAAACTGTTCTGACAAAGAAAGAGTTTTTTCTGACAGGTGTGTATTTTGTGTGTAAGTGGAAGCAGCGACTGTTGTAGAACTATTCACAATATTTTCAAAATCAAAGTCTGTGAATGATTTAGCCCTTATGCGACATTTGTTGGAGACTGGTATGAAGTAAGTGTCAGGAGATATCGCTGGTACCAATCCCTCAACCACCTTGAAAAGAAAAGTTAGCCGCAGTTCCCTCCTCTGGTGCTGCAGTAGTGGAAGATCTGGTGATTTCAGCATGGAGGTGACATTACCTGGGGATTGAGACTTGTAATCCCCAGTGATGAACCGTGCAGCTTTTCTTTGAATTTTTCCATTTTATCAATGTCTGTTTTTATGTAGGGGTCCCATATAATGGCACCATATTCTAGAGTGTAGCGAACAAGACCTATGTACGCTGACCTTCGTTAGATCACTGGACTGTGGCATAGATGCCTTCTAATGAATCCTAGTAAGCAACTGGCCTTTTTACACAAGTTGTTTATGTGAGTTGGCCATAAGCACCCTGAGCTTCAGAGCTAACTTGACACTAACCTTTTCACTGTAGCCTATTCTCCATCGTGTCAAGTAACCTCTGACCACATTCGATTGCCCCCGCCGCCCGCCAATCAAATTTAAAGCCCGCACTCAATGACTCATTGAACGATCTAGCCAATGAACGCGAACGAGTCAAAGCGCGCTTTGTTCAAATCCGGACCAATCAAAGATATAAGGCTGAATATCAGGGACTTGCCGTAACCTGTGGGCAGCACGCAAAATACATCATCCCTCAGTAGATAA